GCATCACAAGGGGATATCAGGTTGGAGAAAGCTGTAAAGCTGTTTAGCAAGAAGGAAGCTACATCAGGGCCAGGCAAAACAATCATCAGAGCAAAAATATGATATGGTTTAACACTGACCATGTCGCTTAGTTGGGTAATGAAATGTCTGCAATAAAACAACCGAACTCAGAGAACCCCCAAGGACCTCACAGTTCAAGCCTGGGCTACAAATATTCTTTTCTGTCAGGCTGTAAGGTTGAAAATAAACCACATTACTCTCACTAGCCAGAAGGAACAATGGTTTACATAGGTTCAGTCAGATCCAAGTAGGCTTTGATTCAATGGGCCACAGATGGGATTTTGAGAAGGTGTGGTTACTAAGGACCTAGAGCACAAAAATACATATTTTAGAAGAGAAACAGGACAAAAAAAAGAAACCAGTCACAGTGCGTTGATTCAAAAGTTGGCCTCTATTGTATCTCCATATAGGGTAATGAGTTTTGCATCATTCCTCTAGAATAGAAACTGGAGCCCTGTAGTCTGCCTGAGTAGAGAATGTAAAAACAATGTAAAAATAGGCCTGATCCCTTGTATGAATTTTAAGTGGTTGTCTGTGAATTCACTTGAAGAAGCCCCATTTGGAACTCTGTAGAGGAGTGTTTCCCAATGTAAGAGGGCTGGACTTCAACTCCCAGAATTCCCCCAACCAGCATAAAGTTGCCACGCTTGAGAAACACTGCTCTAGAGCAGGGGTATCAAACTCAATTTCATTGAGGCCCGCATCAGGGTTGTGTTTGACCTCGGGCACTGGGGTGGGCGTGTCAAGCTTGACATCACTCGTGTCAGGGGTGTCTTTTAACCCTCCTATGGGAGGGTCCATTCACCGTCCACCTGTGGATTTACTCCCACGTCGACCCTTAGTTCATAACTGTTCTTTTCTTTTGGCAGCTCTGCGCATGTGCAGGGCTGGGAACCGGCTCCAGATGCTCCCCCGCCTTACTGATGTCTGACTCCAAAGCAGTGGTGGGATTCAAAATTTTTTACTACTGGTTCTGTGGGCATGGCTTGGTGGGCGTGGCTTGGTGGCAGGGGAAGGATACTGTAAAATCTCCATTCCCTCCCCATTCCATGGGAAAGTAACTGCAAAGTCCCTATTCCCTCCCCACCCCACTAACCTGCTTTCCAGCTCTGTTCTCCTGTGCAGGACAACCAAAGAAGACCCAGCCGATCAGCTGGAACTCAATGGGAGGCAGAGAAGAGATGGGATTGGCAGGGCCAGTCAGAGGTGGGATTTGTCGGTTCTCCGAACTACTCAAAATTTCCGCTACCGGTTCTCCAGAACTGGTCAGAACTTGCTGAATACCATCTCTGCTCCGAAGGCAGCTGATAACTGCCAGACTGCCCTGGCCCCAACTCTGCCCCTGACACAGAGCCCTCGTCCGAGCCTTCCTCAGCCTCCAGGACTGGCCCAGTTTCCTCCCCAACCTCCTCATTGTCCGACTCTGCTGTCACCTCCACCAGCCACCGGCGGGCCACAACAGATCCAGTCAGAGCTGAATCTGACCATCCAGTCAGAGCGAAAGAAGCTTCTTGGATGAGAAGCGAAACGTCTTCGAAGGAAAAAACCAGAAAGTCCAGCTGCCTCTTGAAAAAAGCACCTTTGGGACAACCAGGACTTGGGTGGCTGAGGATCTCCCTAGACATTTAACTTTGAGAATGGTGCTCCTGTCTCTGTTCTGCTGGGTGTGTAATAGTACATTTTTTTCAGTTTCTCGGAAACACTGGCAGCCTTTGAACAAGATCTGAGTGGCGCTTCCATTTTACACACTATTGTATGAAGCTTTGAACCCCATCCAGGACGTAATCAATATTGAAGGGAACCATATTGAAGGGAAAACCCTGCTTTGCCTCTGGGGTCAGTCCAATGGAGCCAAGCCAGGCAGGCAGGCGGATAAAAAGCAGTAGAAGGGAAAGTCACATTGATGTTAAAACTCAGGCATATGATGAGACCTAATTATTTCTTGCCTGGGAAAATCTGCTGCTTCTTTTTGAAAAGAGAGATCCGCCTTTGATAATAAATATGATAGGAATGATAATATCTTCTCCTGCAAAATAAAAAAATAAAATAAAATAAATCATGGCATTTTTGCCACGTGGCCAGCCCAGAGGGAGAGAATTCATAACATAGGCAGCTTCTTAAAAGGATCAGGAAGCAGCTGATGAGGTTAGGGCCCCAGGAGCAAACATTAATCTGAGCAGATAAATAACAGGTTGGATTGAAACAGCACTGGAAGATGCCAAGATTTCAATCAGAGTCTTCTGCAAGTAAAAGATGAAAAGTGAATGCTTACAAAACCTAGAATTTAGAGGAGTCCCTGTGGATTTTAACCGCCCAGTCATTGCCGGAACATGACCACTGAAGGAAAGACAAGGACAGAGAAAGCTTGAACAGCATTTTTCAAAATGAAAAAGGTTTTCAAGCAGGCACGACATAAGCCTAAGATTGAAAACCAGGCTTGTCAGATGCTTTTCTATCCTGCTTTAGGGAGTGGAGAGTTGGTCTCTGACAGTAGTATCGTTTACTATAAGTATAGCTTTGTTTTTCCTTTTCCTTTTGTAAAATGAAATGCCCAGACATTACACTCTAATCAAAATACTTATATATAAACTTAAAAAGAAATGAGGTGATAAATTATCAAAACCATAAAAAAGCAAAAGTTAGAATATTTTTGACATGTGATGCGACACCCTGAAAAATACAGCCTACTTCACTTAATTTTCCAGGGAAAGATTGTTGGCAAATGAGGTCCAGGCAGAAGAAGAAGAAGATCAGGGCTTCAAAATCTAAGGGACTGGTTTGGACAAAGCTCAACAGCACTTTTTCGTGCGGCTGTTGATAAAAATAGGATCGCCAACGTCCAATGACAGATATGGCACAAGAAGAAGAAGAAGTCGTTACCAACTACAAGGGGCTGTGCTCATCTCCATTTCAAGGCCATTGAGCCAGCACTGTCCAAAGACATTTCCGTGGTCATATGGCCAGCATGATGTCACAGAATGCTGTTACATTCCCACCGAAGTGGTACCTATTTGTCTACTCGCATTAAGCATGCTTTCGAACTGCTGGGTTGGCAGGAGGTGGGACTGATCCCATCCCACCATGTGGCAGGTCTTGAACCCGGGGTCGCCGGTTTCCAGCCACCACGCTATCCGTCATCAGTAGGTGAAATAAACTAACTACCGTAAATAATAATAGTATTATTTAGCTTTGTTATATGCTGCCCAGAATTACTTATTTGGTGACATGGACAGCTACATCAAGTTGGGAGAAATAAACCAACTTTTGCTTCCCTGATTAATATCCTCAGCAATCCACTCAGAAACATTCTTTGCTACTCATCCTGATCTGTTTTATTCCCAAACTATGATTCAACCTCTTCTTTGGCTAAGTTAGACCACTACTAAATCTAGTTTAATCTTAAATACACCGGCTTTTCTAATCCTGGGTGCTCTCCTAAGCGTGTTGGCCTAAACATCACCACCTAGCCAGCAAGGCCATTGCTAAGAATTCTGGGAGTTGAAGTCTACACATCTGGGAAATTTCCTAGGTTGGGAAATATTAAGCTGACTTGAGCAGCAGCGATTATTGTGCCAGCTAAGAACAGGATGGACTTGTGCCTTATTTAATTTATGCATACAGTTTTATATAGGCACTCGTAGCATCGACTTAGATCAGCTCAGATTACCTTACCACAAATAACACACATGCCAGAAATATACAAACTATATAACTGAAATACTAATACTAAGAAAAATGAGGTGATTGATGCCCAAGGTTTAACAAAGGTGACTCTAGCACGGAGCTGCATCCGCTTCACAATTGTAGCATCCATGTTAAGGGAAGCAGTGAAGGTGAAGACTGACATCTACAGGACAAAAGCTTTAAATCTTTAACATCCATTGCATTGTCTGGTCCATTATCTTGCCCCAAGAATGTATCTCTGGGTTGCTTATATGTAATCTGACTCAAACATTCACTTCAGAAAAATAGATGCTCCATTAAATGCCTGGTAGTGACAACCATTGATTTATGATCCTGTCCATACAAGTTATTATCAAGTGATTTGAAACCACATTAAATAATTGGGATTCCTGCATAGCAATGAATCCCAGTTAAGAGTCTTGTTCCTGGGAGGCTGTGGCTATATTCTGAATTTCTATAAAACTCATTGGTCTACATTCTTCCAACTAGTTCTCATAAGTATTAATTATTTCACAGGTATTGGGGAATCAAGAAAATTTCCTTTCCAATTAAATTGGACAGGCTAGCCTCGTAGGCAGATAGATAGCCTTAAGCCAACAGATACAAGAAAAATCCCCATGTTTCACAAGTGATTATTAGTTACTGTACATACACAAACCAACATGTTGGAAACCGTATTCATCCTCACAAATCTAAGCATCTCTGAAGAAAACAGCCAAAGGCATCGTTAAGTGAAAAATATATTTTATTTTTTAAAACAATAGCTGCCAGCAGTTTGCCAGTATATCTCTAAAAGATATTCCAGAAAAGTGAAAGGAAGCATCTTACAATATGTCATATGGATTACCAGGTATCTCTCAAAAGCCAAATAAATATCTTGCCCACTCTATGAAGTTTAAAATGTTACTGGATAATAATATTTTCAGATACAGTCAGAAGATAGAAAATTTGGCTTTTAACTAGGAAACTGGCTTCATAAGAGATAACTCTTCCTCCTTTAGTCACAGTTGAAAGAAACAAGGTATTAATGTTCAGCATTAACATTTGATTTAGCACTGTGAACAAAATATATATATAAATTTAAGTCAGATTTTAAGAGAAAGGCAGAATCTGTGTACAAAGCTAATTTTAACTTTTACATGGCCCCCAGTACATATATAACTGTATACATGTAGCATCAAGGCATAAAACATTCATTTTTAAAAAGGCACAGCAACAGCTCAACTCCTTGGGTGACCCATTTGCAATATTCCATATTTCTTCCCAAGCAAACCACCTATTCATTTTTATCAATGTCTACCACATAACCAGAACACATATAAACAAACCACATTCCATTCCGATTTAAGCTATCATGGAAACAGTGAGATCAAGGGGTGTGTTCGGAGCACATAGTGGTTTCTGTCTAAATAAAAAAATGAAATATTGCAAGGGCTTCACAACTTTGGCAAGGAAATTCAACATGTTCCTGTTATATAAAATTCTATTTGCTGAACTGACAAAACATTTTTTTGGAAAGCACAAATTACACATGTTGAAAGTTTTTACTGCAACTTTAGTGACAATTTTTGAAAGTTGAAAGTTTTTACCACAATTTTAGTGACATTTGAGTATATCAGCAATACTTTCTCAGCCAGCAAAATATTGATGTCATGTTCAAGACAACGACTCCCACCTAGTAGCTCAGGGACAGTTTTAAGGAGGGTCCTATGGACAATTCTGTTGTGGAGATAAAGTGGGGGGGACACCTTAAAAATGGCTAACAGATTGCAAGATTGGCCTTCTTGCTCAAAACCCTGTAAGTCTTAAGGTGAATTGCTCAACATCTCATAAAATTTTAGGCAGGAACAACAAAGTCTTGTGAAATTTGGCAGCTATTGACACGTGTAGTTCACCTTCAAGAAAAATGTAGCCATCGCAGAGGGATGGTATCACTCTTTCCTTGCACACTAATCTTTGCTGCAAACCCCTAGATTTGACTTCTGGGTAACCTGTATTTTCATGAGTTGGAAGCACACAGGATTGTGTGTAGAGAGAGAGAGAATTTCCAAAGCTTTGTGCCTCATCGGCTACATCTATCAGCATCATGTGATCAAAATTCAGGTGCTTGAGAATCGATTCATATTTAGGACCGTTGCTGAGTCCCAAGATCACGCGATCAACTTTTGCAACTGTCTAACAAGCAAAATCCATGGGGAAGTCAGATTTACTTTATAACTGGGCTGCTAACTTATCAACTGCAATGATTCACTTACAACTGCGACAAGGAAGGTTGTAAAATGAGGCAAAACTCAACAAATGTCTCACTTAACAACAGAAATTTTGTGCTCAATTGTGGCCGTAAAGTCGAGGCCTACCTCTATTCCAGAACTAATGGCAATTGGACAATTCTCTGAACTCCAGTCCTAGAGTTTTCATGCTGGACTCCCAACTCACCTCACATAAAACAATCTTTAACAGATTCATCACAACATCACTGGGGAGTAGCGGCCCAGTCAATCCTGGGTCCTCTCACCTCACCTCAGACAAGGCCGCTTAGCTGAAAAACTAAACAAGCCTGCTATTATATTTAAACGGAGCTCCTTTCTCGGGTCTATTTTCCACTCCACCCACCCCATGCCTCTCTCAATTTATTCAGAGGGGTAAAAAAATGCTTCGGTCCACGTGGCCCTTCACTCCAATCCTCACGTGTGCAACTTGATCTGTGGGTCACCTAGCTACACACAGCAGATACATCACTATTTGTGTGAGTGGCTCTACGTTGGTTTACCAAATCAGGCCAAGAACAAGACCTGGCCAACAGTTTGGGAAAGGGTTCCACGGATACCTCACTTCAGGCTAAGGAAAACATTTCTGACCTGTTCATGAAAAGCAGAAAATGGAGGGAAAAGAGGTTAATGGCCCCACTGGGCAGCCAGATTCTCTTCTGGCGTACGAGGGCATTGAAACACATTCGGTCTAAGAGACCCTTTCATGCCACTGAATTTTCAATTTGCCAAGGAAGATAAATCAGGGAAAGTTTTATTCCTTCTGCATTTGCCATCATTGCCACTTAAGAACCCAGGCCACATTATATCCTCTTCATTATCTTTTCTTTTGGCACGTGAAGAAGGCGATGGGAATCAACTGAATCAAAGGCAATGGGGAAGTATTAGCCAGTGTCTCTGAAATTTAAGTGAAAATTTTTAAAATGGCAACATTTTTCCTTTAGGATTTCTGCCACATTGTATAATTATTTGGAGGGGGGGATTTTGTGAGCCCCAATCAGGTTTTGGCAATACTGGACATTTTAGGACGTGTCAGGAGACACAGCCATATAGAAAACATATAATGTATATAAAGCTATTTGTGATTAAAACTTTTTATAAAAATATAAAAATGCTCGGTGATATGATAAGGTTTGATGTGGGGGGGGGGGGGGGGGGGGGGGGGGGTGTTATTTGAAAAAATCTCTTATTGTCAAGTACCTTACACAAGAATTGCTCTGTTTCTCTTCTATGTGCCCAAACTACACAAATTAATTTAAAATACTTTTCTATATTTCCTATGATTTATCTTTGAGGAAACACAAAGGTAAAGCATAATAAATTCAGTGAGACTTGTGATCTGCAAATTGGTCAGCAAAAGCTTAAAAATGCAAGATATTCCCTTGCAAACAATAAAATGATTTGCATTTCAAGGTAAAAGGATTACCCATTAATGTAAAAATTACTAATTTAAAAAACAAAACAAAAAACAAATCCCACACAATCAAGTCTGTTTTGAAGCTTGTTATTCATCGCATTTAAAGCAAATGGAAAAGTCATTCCGTGCCTCAAGCATTGGCCTTTTAAATGGAAGAAAATCAAATTTATTGGGCTTTTGAACTTTTGAAATTGAATTACAGCACTGTTCCTTGATGCTGTTCTAAGTGGGGGGAAAACACAACTGACCTTTTAATATATCATGATTGCAGCATGAAAAATAATCGATCAGGTAAAGAGTTAAGGAGCTACTCTCTTCCCTTTCTCTTATTTTTCTAACTTTTGTTTTTCCTATTTTTTTTATCTTATAGTGAAACTTAATAACATTTATGTGGGGGGAAAGTACAGATAAATCCCAATGTAAAACCTTAATAAAACAACGGAAAAGGCACTTGGCTTGCTTCACAGGAAGAATTACAGCGAGGGAACTACGCAGGTTGTCTTGTTAAGGCAAATAAACGGATTTTTAAAAGAACACTTGTCTGAAAATTAAAAATAAAACAGTAGAATTTAGTAAGATTTTGACCTCTAGCAAAAAGCAAAAAGGATGCACCTCAGTCATTAAGTTACTGTATTTTTGTGAAGACCTGCAGGGATGATGCTCAAGGAAGTCAAGATGGACATGACAATCACACAATCAATTGTTCATTTGCATCAGAATGCACTGTGGTTTGACTCACAGGCTTGTGGCCTCCATCTTGAATTTTTCTGATCACTCGTCCTATGACACCCCAATGTACCTCTAGCCAGCAAAGCTTTGACTGTTTACTTAAGAAATGAATTCTGCAGTCTGACAAGTCCCTTACTGACCTAAAAAGAAATCACTTGCTATTATAGCTTAGGAATTTGTCTCATTATTTATAGGGATAGCAAGCTTCTAAAAAAAGACCACCAGATTCTAAGCTGACTATCCAGAGCAGGGTTTCTCAAACTTGGCAACTTTTAAAATAGGTGGACTTCAACTCCCAGAATGCTATGAGTTGAACTCCACCCATCTTAAAAGTTGCCAAGTTTGAGAAACAACTGATCCAGAATCAAAACAAAACAGTGGACTTGTGTGAGAATAAATATGGTGAATATACATTTCCCATTCACCTTCTTTCTCCTCACCATACCTAATCTGAGAGTAGGCATCAGTCCTGGTGTTTGACCTTGTTCCAAAGTGATGTCGAACTGATGGATAAATGGACTTCCCAAAACTTGCCCATGAGTTCTGCAAGCAACTTTGGCAGAGCTTTTGGTGCGGGCAGACCGAGAGGTATAACTTAAAAAAAGAAAAGAAAATTAAGCTTCCCTTCCAAATGCAATAAGACGGTTGTTTCGGCCACCATCAAGAAGCTCATCCCCTTAAGCCAATTTAAGAAGCCCAGGTTCAATCTGAGATCCAAAGGACGGTTTATAAAGGTAGTACTATAAAGACACCAAGCCTTCTTTAGACAGGTTCACCATAGCTATGGGTAAGGAGTTGTAACTCCTTGCACATGAAATACTACTTTAGGAAAGGGCAGACAGGACCAGTTTTCCCCATGAAGAGAATGTGCCTATGTGTGTGGTTTAACATGGAAATGGTATTCAATTATATATACACCTCTGTTGGGGAAATGCCAGGACAAAGTTGATCATTACTAGGTTCTTCTGTCAATATGAACCGGCTTTGGGATTAACCTGGATTCAGAACCTGCTTACTAGGAAAGAAAACCTTGGACCACTCAAGTTTGGGGAGAGAAGGGGAGATTCACAATGGCTTCCCTCTTAATGGCTGCATTTGCTCTTTTACAGGAGGCAAAACAAATAAGCTGTGTAATATAAAATTTGCATTTCACAAAAGAGAGAAAGACAAATGACAATACCTGGTCTGCCCAGTGTAGCACTTGAATTAACTGCAAGATACATGCAAAGTAAATGGCTATCTTAAAAGACAAAAAAAAGAGCAGTCTTGTTAAAAAAAGCTTTTGCTTATACACGTGCAACGCTGCTTTTTTTTAAGCGAGTCTTTTAGCTACGTCGCTGTAGGCGATTTCAATCTCTTTCTCTCCAGGACAAGTGTTGGTGAATTCATCACGGCTAGAGGCGTTCTTCAGGTATCTCCAGATGCCCGTCATAGACTTGGGAATATCAAAGTTGCGATACTTTTTGGCCACAATCTAGGAGCAAAGAGAGAGATCGGTCTCAGTAGGGTGGTTTTGGAGAAATGTGAGGCCTGAGAATGAACTGTCTGAATGGAGCTTCTCTGAGACCCACCGACCCAGCATTTAATTCACTGGATTTCCTGCAGAAAGCCTCCAAATAACACACCGATGCACACCTTGGCAACTTTAAGGTGTGTGAACTTCAACTCCCAGAATTCCCCAAGTACGTAAAGTAACCAAGTTTGAAAAATGCTGATTTAAATAAATACGAGGCTATCTGTTTCAGGAACCTCTTTTAACTTCCACCTGATTCAGTATTCTTCCTGCAAATTCTAAATTAGCCAGCAACACAAAGGGTTTCAGAAAGGATGATGGTTCAAACTGGTTTTCAGTTTCATGCTTTTAGCTGGAAGTCTAGCATTAAAAAAAACAACCCAAAGCTGTTTTTCAAAAGGCAACTGGACTTCCTTGGTTATTTTCTTTGAGAACTTTTCTCTTTCTCATCCAAGAAGCTTCTTCATTTCAGAACTGAAGGAGCGTCTTGGATGAGAAGCGAAACGCTGCCTTTTGAAAAGCACTTTTGGGACAACCATGGCTTGGATGATTGAGAATCTCCGTAGACATTTATTCCAGGGTTAAATCTGCATGTAGGCTTGTTTCAGTTCTCGTATCAAATTCCACCTACTTTGACAATATGCAGCTTGGGTAACAAGTTGCAGTCTGCTAGCGTCATCTCATTCCCATCCAGAAATTTGCGCGTAGAGGCAGGGATGTCTTCCATGCTGTTCTCGTCAATCTCATCAGGGAGGGGACTAATTAAGTACTCATCCAGCTTCTGCAGAGTTTTCAAAAGACCCCGCTCCAAGGCTGTAGGGAAAAAGGCAACGGGGGAAAGGGAAAACAACAGTGCAGAATTAGGGCATCCCTCTGACATCTCTCTAAAGCAGGTTTTTTTTTTCAACCTTGGCAGCAGACTAATACAGTTATTCCTCGACTTACAATAGTTCCTTTAGTGACCTTTTGGAGTTGCAACAGCACTGAAAAAACTGACAGTTGTGACAGTTTTTCCCTTACGACTCTTGCAGCACGTCCATGGTCATGTGTTCAAAATTCAGACTCTTCGCAACAATGGATTCATATTTATGACCTTGCAATGGGATCACCTTTGGCAACCTTCTGCCAACTGGTCAATGGGAAAAAGCCAGATTCACTTTACAATTGTGTTATTAATAACTGCAGTGGTTTCACTTAACAACCGTGGCAAGAAAGGCCATAAAAGGTGAGGCTGTTTAGTCCCTTTACTTGTGGGTTGTTTTTTTTGTTTTGTTTTTTGCCAAACTCTCCATCGCTGCTCTGGCTTGGTTCCTGCAGCGCACCACCAGAGGGCGCTCTTGTTCAACCCAACTCCTCTTCTTGCTGGGCTAAAAACAGAAGTTCCTTCTCTCATTTCAAATAGTGATGAAAGATCTGGAGGCTTATTGACGTAAGCCTGCAGTTGCAGAAGTAAAGTGTCTCTAAGGATTCCCAACTGGTTCCACACTTGGTTTCGGTTTTTCACTTTTTATTTTGATTAGCTTCGTTCATTTTGGAGGGCAAACGTGGTCTGATTTTAAGAACGTACGTCCTTGGTCCCTATGGAGCCTACAGTTTTTTACAAGAGGTCCAAAAGAAGGCAACATAGAGTTATTTGCATGGCAAGCAGCACATACAGAATAAATGAGTTGGAAGGGGCCTTGGAAGTCTTCTCGTCCAACACCTTGCTTAAGCAGGAGACCCTATATATACCACGTCAGACAAATGGTTGTCTAACCTCTTCTTAAAAAGCTCCAGTGTTGAAGCACCCACAGCTTCTGGAGGGAAGCCATTCCACCAATTAATTGTTCTATCAGGAAATTTCTTCTTAACTACAGAATACAGAAGAATAGAGTTGGAAGGGACCTTGTAGGTCATCTAGTCTAACCTCCTGCTCAAGCTCTCCTTGATAAGCTTCCATCTGTTACTTCCTGTCCTGCCTTCAGGTGCTTGGAGAATAGGTTGACCCCCTCTTCTTTGTGGCAGCCCCTCAAATATTGGAAGAACTGCTATCATATGGCCTTTGCCTTTCTCTTTGTTAAGACTAGGCATAGCCAGTTTCCATAACTGTTCATCGTACCCTCTTTCAGACCCCTAATCTACCACCCCCGATATCACCAAGACAATAACCTCAACAGCTGGATTCCAATGAATCCTGATGCACAATGGCTCCTACTGTTACAGGCCACGTGAGGCAATATCTTCCTTTTCCTGGAGGTGAAGCATGAGTGATCCTGCAGAGTGACTACGCTCAAATCCCCCTCCCATCTTATTTGCATTCTGCTTTGCTTCCTGTAGCCTTGTTCCATTTGAGGCAACACCGAAAGAAACTGATGGCAATTCAGGAGTTCCCCAGTGGCTAGAGGTTGCATTTGCCACCAACACACTGTGCACGAATGCTGGTTTCTGAGACATTCAATAAAGGACCTTGCCCATGTGCAGGAAAAAGTATTCTCTTCCCAGCTCTTGGCAATTCAGAAAAAAAAATGTGTTTGAGTTTTACAGCACAGTGGGGGGGGGGGGGAGAGAAAATACACTGCCCTTTATAATTTCTGCATTGGCCTTCAAGCAGATTTGTGCCAATCTGGACAAATGATGAAACGAGTGATGCTGCAGAAGCTATTTCACTCCCATTATGGAAATGAACTTGTGTGTTTCTCTACTCATTCTGTTCCTCAAATCCAAGCCCAGGGCAAGCGATTTCCATACAATTCTGTGCAGCTACAGAAAAGCCCCAGAAAACAGTATGAGCTGAGGGTTTTTTGTTTCCTGTGAAATTCAGCATGAAAGCACGATTCTAGCAGTGTGAGTCAACTTTGATGTTCTCTGAGTACTGAACCCTTCATTTCAATCCTGAGCCACAAATATTCTCCTTTATTCATACTCTAATTTATCAACAGCCTTGCAAAGGTGGAACACTGAACCGTGGGATCACATCCTGCTGGGCTGCAATTTTTACCACTAGCACCCATTTTCATGTGAAATGGAATAATTCATAGATGCAGCTTCTTTCACCAGATAAAGATCTTAAGATAATGTTTGCTGTTGAAGAATTTGCATTTGTAGCCTGTAGAATACTCATCATGATGACAGCGAATCCACAACTGTGCCTTTTACATAAATGTCACCATTTATTTTGCTATTATTTAATAGTGAGGTTTTTTTAATAGTCTGGATTACTGACTCCACTTACGACTTTATTGCTCTTGCAGTCTTGTATGACCCGCTTTATGAAACCTTGCAACAAAACAACAAAACAAAACAAAATAAAGAAATTGAGTAGTATTTTGAGGCAGTGTTTTAGTGTGTGTTGTCATATGTTAACATATGAGATCAAAGAGTCTAGAATCCAAGCCAGAATTATTTTTATTAGGAATTACAACAAAGGGCTACAACAAAGGGTCAATTTATTTAATACTACACATCCTGACGGCAGCGAGAATGGTATACGCCCAGCAATGGAAGAGCGAAAATACACCTCTAGAAAGAGAGATAATAAAGAAAATACTGGTTTGTGCAGAATTAGATAGATTAACTCTAGAACTAAAAAATAAAGGGAAAACTGAACACTACGATACATGGAATAGATTCTACAGATGGTTGGAAGCGAGAGGTGGAAGTTGGAACATAAAATAGCTAGGACAAGTAAATCCAAAATGTGACACTGTATAGATGAGCTAAAATGAGTATTGTGATCAAAATAACAGCAACAAAATTAGTAATCTATAAATAATATGTATGTTATTTGTGTATTTTTATTTTACTATGTATGGTGGAGGAAATGCCAGGATGGTTGCACTGTGTTCAATATTTATATACGTAAATAATAAATATCTATATATAATAAAGAGTTAAGGCGGAAGAAATAAATTCTGTCAGAAAAACTACTGCTGAAAAGAATATACTTTGTCACAAATCAACATAAACAAATGCCAGGCTTAACTTATATAGAAATGTGGGTCTAGGAAGTAAAAGTATTTTTCCCCTCTAAATCAGGAGTTTCCAATCTTGGCAACTTTAAACCTGGCGGACTTCAATTCCCAGAATTGAATCGCTCTTTATTGTATGCAACAATATTTAAACTCCTCCTGTGCTTTTACACAGAATTGGCAAATTTCTGGTCCATGAAGGGAGACAGAGGGAAGAGCCATCAAAGTCAGCTCCAAGAAGCAGAGCATCTTTTCCGGATGAACGTCAGCCGAGACCTCTGCAAAGAGCAAAGGAACTCTCAACAGCCGATGGAAGAACGGATAAAAGAGCAAGCCACGGGCTGCTCAGCACTACACAAAGGCTGCCTCTTGGGGATTTACTCACTGAATCTGGGGAAAAGCCCTCATTAAAAACGAATCAAGGAGAGAAGAAACCTAGAGCTAAAGAGAAATTTCCTGTCAGTGAGAAGAATTAATCAGTGGAACGACTTGCCTCCAGAAGTTGAGGATGCTCCATCGCTGGAGATGTTTAAGAGGAGATTGGACAGCCATTTGTCTGAAATTGTATAGCATTTCCTCCTTGAGCTGGGGGCGGGGTTGGACTAGAAGACCTCCAAGGTCCCTTCCAACTGTGCGATTATGTTAAAAAGTTGTGCAACATCCAAATATAGGCAAGATCTTGAAATTCATCTTAACTGTTGTTGGTATTTTAGAAGAAACCCCTTTAAAGTAGAGGTTAGCTTGTTTCTGCTTACTCTTTGCTTTCTTCTTGCACTGTTGCAAAGATGCACCTGGAAGGCCTTGAGGTGAAGTAAGCAGGCTGGTGAGTCAGAACAGGAAATAATCCGTCCCTTTTCTGCTCCTGACACAGCTGCCATAGAAGCCACCGGGGTTCATCACCTGCTTCCGTGTAACATGCAGCTTGCCCGGTGCTGATTAGGAGGACTGAAGTCTCTAACCTATTTGAATATCACTCATTTGGGGAAAACTCTTTTTTAAAAAAAGCCTACTTTCTTGGGAGAAATTAAGACAACTGGTATCCTTGATGTATGACTTATTTCTGCTGCTAAGTGAGACAGTCGTTAAAGGAGGTTTGGCCCCCATTTTATGACTTCCCTTGTCATGGTTGTTAAGTGAATCACTGCAGTTTGTTCAATTAGTAACTTCTTTGCTAAGTGAATCTTGCTTTCCTCATTGGCTTTGCTGGTCAGAAGAGTGCAAAAGTTGATCACGTGGCACTGTAACAATAATCAATTTTATCATGTGACCATGGGGGTGTGTGTGTGCTTCAACAGTTGTATGTGTGAAAAATGCCTATGTCACTTTTTTCAGTGCCCTTGTAACTGTGAACGGTCACTTAATGAACTGTTGTAAGTCAAGGACTACCTGTATGTTTATAGAGAAAAGGCTTCCTTCATCACGATGACTAATTGGAGCAAGTAGCCCTAATATATATATATAAAAGCGAAATACCACTCACGCATCATCACAAAATCTCCAGAACCGTAAAGCCTACAAACTTGAAATTTTGGCAAGTATGTTCCTCTTGGCTTCTAGGTGCTCACTAAGAAAGGATTTTTCAAAATGACCATCACAGCATTAGTATTTCCTATATTATTATTAACATGCTCTGATGCTAAGGAGTTCTATTCCCCCTCCCCACCTGAAAAGAAATCTGTTCTAAATGCAAAACACAAGGAGAGGAGAGGAGTTTCGGTTTCACAAGCAGCTTTAGTACAGAACAGTTGAGCTAAGCCACACCCAGGCTCCTTGCTGTCTCCTTCTTCCTCACACAGCAAATACTCTTTCAGTTTCCATGTTTCAGTTTCAAAACAGCCCTCAACTGTCTCACACACTGACAGAACGCTAGCCAGATGAATACTGGTAGGCAAAAGCAGAATTTCCCCCCCCTTATTTTCCTCCCAAAAAAACTAAGCCCGCTCACATAGTTCCGTAGTGAAGCATGGGTATAGAGCTCGCGCTACATAACAGTGAAAGAACAAACCCAGCATGGATTTCCTACCTTCATTGGCTTCAGGTCTGGAATTCTTGATAAAAGCTGAAAATTTAGCAAAGATGTCCATTCCAGCAGTATTTGATTCTGGATGTTTTGCTGAAAGCTTTATATACCTGAAAGAGATGAAGTGACAGCATGAGCTAGAGTACAGGATTAGGGCTCTCAATTTATTCCTTGTAACGTTCACTATTAAGTAACATCCTTTTCAACACCGATTTGCGACACTCCAACATTTGAATCTTGATTTTGATCCCCTATCTACTTAAGAAGTCCATAAAATGACGCTTAGGGTTGAAATATCCAGCATACTGGTAGTCCTCAACTTACAACAGTTCATTTAGTGACTGCTCAAAGTTACAACAGCCCTGAAAAAAGTGACATAAGTCCATTTTTCAGACTTACGACTGCTGCAGCATCCCCGTGGTCATAGGATCAAAATTTGAATACTTGGAAACTGGCATGTATTTGTGATGGCATGTATTTATAAACTGGCATGTATTCATAAAAGTGTGGAAGGCGGTAAGATTGTGAAATAAAGTTTATTCAATATTAAAATGGAAGCATGGCAGGAAGAGAAGGTTGATCGTGCAAACGTTTGGGTCCCAGAGGCCCCAAAATACTCAGTAAATCCCAACAGTAGCTCACAGGTGTCACGCTAGTCTGAAAATCATTGTTCCACTTGCTTTGTTCCACAGCTCTTACCAACAGGAAATTCTTCCTGATATTGTCTGAATCTCCTGTCTTTTAATTTGAAGCCCCCCGGTCTTTGTCGGATTTTGAATTTCAGTGAATAGATCCTAAAGCAACCTCTGGCAACGGACAACTAGAGCACTATTTTTTTCCTGTTTTACCCCATCTTTTATTATTTTTAAACAACTCAAGGTGGCAAGCATAGCCACTGCTCCTTCCTCCTCCTCCTCTATTCCCCCAGAAACAACTCGGTGAGGTGAGGTGAAGTGGGCTGAGAAAGAGGCCCAAAGTCACCCAGTCACTTTTCATGCTTAAGATAGGACCAGAACTCACCGTCTCCTGGTGCCTTCACCACTAAACCAAACTGGTTCTTTATAAAACCATGTTCAGATCTTTTAATGATTATTTGATGGGCTTGGTGTGCAGCGTCCCTTGTATCGCTTTTCTGGATCTGTTCTAGTGTATCTATATCCCTTTCAAAGTGGGGATGTCCAGAATAATATTTCAAATCTAAGCAGAGCAAAGTCACACCCCATCATGTGGAAGCAGTGTTGTGTAGGACAGAGCTTTTGACTGAAAAGTCAGACATATTCCAAAGTAGTTTTAAAAATGCCGAGACAAAAACTGTCTCGGCAAAATAGAAGTTTAAAAACAGCTCTGCCTTTATCCCTAGCTCCAGCAGTATGAGAACAGTACTGGCACAGTATTTTCAGTGGTAAATTTCCAGTGTCTTCTTCTCTTATAGAATAGAATAGAATTCTTTATTGGCCAAGTGTGATTGGACACACGAGGAATTTGTCTTGGTGCAAATGCTCTCAGTGTACATAAAAGAAAAGATACATTCGTCAAGAATCATAAAGTACAACACTTAATAATAGTCATAGGGTACAATAAGCAATCAAATCATACTAGGAAACAGTCAATGAAAATCATTAGGATACAAGCAACAAAGTTATGACTATATTACTTATAGATAAGTAAAGGTAAAGGTTCCCTTCGCACATACGTGCTAGTCGTTTCCGGCTCTAGGGGGCGGTGCTCAGGGGTGGGATTCTACCAGTTCGCACCTATTCGCTAGAACCGGTTGTTAACATTCTAAGCAGTTTGGAGAACCGGTTGTTAGAAGAAATTACTGGCCTAATCCTGTAAGGAAGGCAGGAAGGAAACATTCTGGTGTTGCTTACAGAAGCTGCCTCTCCATTAACCCTTATTACATTCTTGGCAGGACTAGACTTCCTGTCTCTGGAACTTCTCTGGAGTTTTTTTCCGCTCCTTTGCTGGTACTTTGCTTGTGTGGAGTGACCATTCAGTTACAATGGCACTGAAAAAAGTGACTTATGACCATTTTTCAGACTTACGACTGTTGCAGCATCCCCACAGTCATGAGAGGCCAGGCGAGGAGATGCGTGCCTCGATGTGAGTGATATTGAGTTGGCCACACCCATCCATTAACATGACCACCAAGCCACGCCCACAGAACCGGTTGTTAAAAAATTTGAATCCCATCCCTGGCGGTGCTCATCTCCGTTACAAAGCCGAAGAGCCAGCACTGTCCGAAGACGTCTCCGTGGCCATGTGGCCGGCATGACTATCCACCGAAGGTGCATGGAACGCTGTTACCTTCCCACCAACGTGGTCCCTATTTTTTTACTTGCATTTTTACATGCTTTCGGACTGCCAGGTTGGCAGAAGCTGGGAAAAGTAACAGGAGTTCACTCTGCTATGCGGCGTTAGGGATTCAAACCACCGAACTGCTGACCTTTCTGATCAACAAGCTCAGCATTATCAGATAAGTAGGTACCCTGCAAAAATTTCTATGCTGAGAGTCTTATCATGCTTGGGGGTTTCCAATAACGTGTAGTTAAGAGGATATATCTCCTTTATATTACTAATCACCTCCCCACTAGTATTCAGAGGAAGAGAAATTATGGATGGTGCCCAGCTGCAATGTGTTTTATTTTTCATCTTCTGTAATGTCTTTATTTTAATGTATTTTAGTGTAATTTCAGTCATTTTTTAAAATAAAACAAAGATAAAAGATAAAAACTAACAACAAAAAAACAAGTGGCCAGAAAGAAAAAAAAAGATTAAAAGAGAGAAATAGGGAACTATATAGGTGATAAAAGAGGAAAAAAGTAAAAAGTATGCAAACAAAAATGTTTTAAAAAGCACCCTTCCAACTTTTATGTATATATGTATAGTTTAGTTCAGTTTACTTATTTGTCTCTGCACCTTGTACAACGAAATTAAATACCATCTTCAGTGTACATTATGACTATGAAAATAAACACGAACACACATCCTTCACATTCTATACATTGAATTGAAAACCCCTGATATTGCATTAATATTGCACTATACAGTAGAATTCAACAGAGCTACTGCCATGATTGTTAAGTACGAGGAGGACTGGTTATAAGTCCCTCTTCATAAAGATGAGCCACTTGCCAAAATTTTGATCATGCGACTGTGGGGATATTGCAATGGTTGTAAGTGTGAAGACCAGTTGTGAGTCACCTTTCTCACCGCAACTTCAAAAGCATCGCTAAGTGACAAGTTGCAGATGACCTATGCTGGAGTGTGCAGTGCAAACAGCTACAGATTCAGTGAGTTAAGCCACATTTTTGAGAGCCGGCGAGAGGAATGACGGAAAATAGCAGCATGAATCTCACCCTTCCCTTCTACCCAACCCTCTCGGTGATACCTACTTGGGTGGGCAGAGAACGTCTTCAAGGAACTCTTCAATCTTGTTCACGTCAGTTTTCACTTCGTTATTAAAGGTGATGAAAGGCGGGTGTGTCCCTGGAGCCAAGTTCTGAAGATCTGCAGGCTTCCTGAGACAGAAAGTTTACGTGGTTGACATGAAAAACAGTTCAAGGAGTTCCCCAAATCATAGTTCGCATTGACATCAACATAACTGTGCTGACC